GCTGAGCGGCGTTGGCGTGCCCGGTTGGGGTGTATGTGAGGGTCTTAAGACTTCTGTGCGCAGGCCCACCTCATCAGTGACCCCACAGAATTTGGGCTTCTTTGTGATTACAGGTAGATTACATCCTCTTGGGGTGATAAATACTATAGATGGTTTGGGGTTATGAACATAGAGGGGATTCACACTAATGGTGGCACCTTGTTTTCTCCTCTCTCCTTCTAGGCCAACTAGTTTCTATACGTACTATTGGAGACAACCTACTGCGGGCTGTTAGAACTGTTTGCCTTTTACTCCCCAGTGAGGGATTGGATACATATTGGTCTCCATTGTTGAAACATCTTTTCAAGCATAGAGATAAACTCTTCTTATGGATTTGGGCCCATGCCGTAATATCCGCGTTTCAGCAGAATACTAGCCAATCTATATTTATATATTATGGTTTTTTAGGCCCATATTGTTTTGGCATTATCAACCCAGATGTGGCTGGACTATTATACGGAGATTGTAGACCACCAACCGGCACTTCTGTTTTAAAATCTTTACCTGCTGATTGTCTGGGGAGTCTCGTGGGGTTTTTCACCTGCCCATAGTCTGGTTTATGCACCCCCACACCCAACAGTGGGTTCTACCCAGGGGCAGACTGACCATTTGGAAACTTGGGCACTGCCCGAGGGCCCGGGGTCAGTAGGGGGCCCCATGAGATGTCCCTGGTACTGGGAGGGTGGGGGGTGGGGGGGGGGGGGAGTGGGGGGGGGGGGGGGGGGTGTGGGGGGGGGGGTGGGGGGGGGGGGGGGGGGCTTTTCCATAGGCTTTTTTGAGTTTGGGCAAGGACACAGGGGCCCCATCATCCCCTATTGCCCGGGGGCCCCATGAGTTGTCATTCTGCCCCTGGTTCTACCCTTTTTTGGTGGCCTGGAGGGACTTGGCTCAGTCACAAAACATGTCAGGCATCTGTTGCACAACTTGAATATTCCCCACCTTTTGGAAGGAATATACTCTCATCACCGTCTGTACTCAACACCCTTGTTGGAACCAGTTTGTTATGGTTGGTTGGTTGTGAGAAATCAGCTGTGGTTTAAGTGTGCAATGTAATTTTAACTATATACAAGACATATTTTAGAGGTGATACTGTATGTGAATAAAGGAACATTCATATTATCTTTTGTATACTGAGTTTTTGTGCTTCAAAAGTCCACTCAATATCTTTTTCTCCATTACTAATGATCATATTTGGTCTATGGCTATAATTGGTCTATGGCCATATTGGCCAGTGATGTCACCAACATCCTGCCCCTTTGCTTGCATAACTGGGGATTTCTGGCCATGTGAGTGAATGGGGCCATGACATCACTAGTTGTTAAGGATTCATCAGTACCTGTACCCGCTGGCGACCTTAACAACCATTGACAATATAAAGCTGTCATGTGAAATAGAGACTGTAATACAGCTATTATACATGATGTTTGCAGCCGCTGAATGGGTAAATGTTTGGGGCGCTTGTCCGTACACCTGAACAGCCAAGGTTCAGTCCAAACTTGTATTTGGACTGATCTCTAAAGTATAACTAAAGGCAGAAATGTTGTATTTTTTATTTTTGGATACAGTGGAGATATATTAGAACAAATGTCAGTTCTTACTGTTGTCTGTGCACCTGTTAGGGAGATTCACATTTTCTTTTTTTTCCTGTTTACCAATATCATTGAAAGACATTATAACCCTCTTTTACTCTATTCAAAATGAAAAAAAAATGGAAAATTGTTCGTCATACTTGCCGCAAATCACCTTTCCTGACAAGCTCCATGGCAGTACACCAGCGTAAGCCCTGCCCCACCCCTTGTACTAACCAGGACCATACTTATGAAAACAAATAAAGTAATGAAATGAAAAAAAATATCCACCCTCACAGCAGACCGGTGTTACACAACATGTTTCTCTGGACTGGGCAAGAAATATTGTGTGGTCATGTAACTTGTCAGGAAAGGAAAATTGCAGTAAATATGAAGAACAATTTTTCTGAATGGATGATCTGTGGACCTAATCCCATCCCTTGGCATCAAGGAAATTTGAAAAGTTTTCCACACATGCAGCAGGCTGGCTGTTTGGTTGTCTTCTGAAAAGAAATTGGGAAGAACTATTTCTTGCTCCATGTGGAATTTTGAGGTCACCTTTGAAATGAAACCCAACATCAGCACAAGGACTATTCAGTCCTCTAGAAAGGTTGCAAAGGATTTTTAAACCTTGTAAGGCTGATAGCTTTAATAACATCCTGGCTGACACTAGTCAGCTTGCAGTTTGTTCCACCTTGAAACATATTGGTCTACGTCCTTCAACAAAGAATGACTCTGCATGCCTCCTTGCTTCTTGATGTAAGCTTCTGCTGTTGTATTGTCCAATTGCAGAATCACTAAGCCTCCGTTAATTTGATGATTGAAGGCTAGTAAAGCCTGGAAAGCTGTTCCTAATTCCAACACATTGGAAGCATTCCTCAAATTTCTCTAGAGTTGCTACTACCATATTTCAAAGGGCTAGGAGCAGCTTCTTCTCCTGAGTTAGCAGCAGGATATTGTACAAGTAGTGATCAATGCAGATGCCTTGCTTCCAAAGAAAGGCAATCACTGCAAGAAGCACCATGGTAAAGGCAACTGGAGATGTGATCAAGCCAAAGGGAAGGCAGACAAACTGATAGTGCAGATGGCGGATGGCAAAATGAAAAATCCTTTGGAAGTGGGGGCAATTAGATTATGAAAGTAAGCATTTTTCAGATTGACTTACAGCAGCCAGTCCCCTAGCTCAATAACTTTCAGGACGGTTTGTAAGGATTGCATTTTGAAATGCTCCTTTTTGAAGTACCTAATAAAGCCATTTAACCACATGCCGCCCAGCCACTGTAGAAATACGTTGGCAGGGTGGCACGGCTGGGCAAAACCACGTTTTAAGACGTGTGTTTTCAAAACAGGTCAGGGGCGCACGCTAAGGCTATGGATGTCTTGTATGGAAGTCGTTTTCATTAGCAGTTGAAGAACAATTACTTTTCATTTTCCTTGCTTCTCACTTTCCACCTCTGTAACATCTACATCTTCAAGTGATACGGACAGAAGTCTACCTTCTGTGTGCTGCTCCCCCCACAGCTCCCCCTAATACTTATCTGAGCCCAATCTCAATCCCGTGCTGTGCACAAGAGCCTTGGTGCTCTCTCTCTTGATTGGCTGAGACACAGCAGCAGGAGCCATTGGCTCCCACTGTTGTCAAACACAGCCAGTGAAGACTGAGCATGGCAGAGCTGGCTTTCTACGTCCTATAGACACACAGAGTTGGGCTCTGATGTGAGCAAACTACTTGCTCTGGGGGCACTCAGCAGGGGTGAAGGAGCAGAAGTGTCGTCAGGGGACCCGAGAAAAGGAGGATTGGGTCTGCGCTATGCAAAGCTATTGAACAGAGCAGGTAAGCATAACATGTCTGGTATTAAAAATAAAAAAGCAAAAAAAACAGATCTACGAATATATGAACCTTACTCCTATTCAGGGGCGGACTGACCGTTTGGAAACTTGGGCACTGCCCGAGGTCCCGGGGTCAGTAGGGGGCCCCATGAGATGCCCCTGGTACCTTTTTCATAGGCTTTTTTGAGTTTGAGGCCCCATGATCCCCTATTGCCGGGGGCCCCATGAGTTGTCAGTCCGCCCCTGCTCCTATTATCAATCTATCAATTCCAAACCATTCTACATGTGCACAATGCAACAAATTTCAGTATATATAAAATATGTGCAAAAGACAAATACTGTGCAACCAAAGGAATACAGAGCCCTGTGCCTAAATGAGCCCTCCAAATAGATATGAATGGTATGATTTTTAGGGGGACCCTGGGCAGTTTTTTTGGGGGTCTCTCATTAACATCTGTATCTGTCATTTAGGATAAAGGTCTGATATAGATGAAGGGAAAGCCAGGCCAATTTGTTTACAAACAGAAAAAAAGTGGTAGCCTTTATTTTGCCAGCAGTTTAACCACTTGCCCTCCAGAGGATTTACCCCCCTTCCTGACAAAGCCATTTTTTTGCTTTAGGCACTTCTTTCTTTAACTGACAATTTAACTGTCATGCAACGCTGCACCCAAATGAAATTTACGTCCTTTTTTTCCTTACAAATAGAGCTTTTTTTCAGTAGTATTTGATAACCTGTGTGTTTTTTATTTTTTGCACTGTAAAAAAAAAAGTCTGCCAATTTTGAGAAATAAAACAATATTTTAAAATTTTTGCTTTTAAACATGTCCAGTAAAAATATTTAAAAAATCTAATTTCCTCATAAATGTAGGCCAAAATGTATTCTGTTACATGTCTTTGCTAAAAAACATCCCAATATGTGTAAATTAATTGGTTTACGTCAAAGTTATAGAGTTTACAGATGGTGGTATATATAATGGGCTTTTTTTTTTTACTAGTAATTGCTGCGATCAGCGACTTATAGCAGGACTGCGGGACTGCTGCAGGCATTCTGATACTGGTGGGAACTGACATGGTGTCACTGACATCCCCAGTGACACCAATACAGTGTTCAGTGCTAATAAAAAGCACTGACACTGTACTAATGGCACTGGGCATGACGGGGTTAACATCTGGGGTGCTCAAAGGGTTAACTGTGTGCTGTTTTACATCATGTTCTGTGTTTGTGCTTCACTGTAAGAAGAACAGTTTTGTTTACTAACAGTTCTCCCCCCTATCAGAGATCCTTGGCAATCACCGGGCACGGGCGAATAATCACCGTCCGGGACCCAGTGATTGACAGCCGCGGCCGTGAATGGTGGAAATGCAAAATCACACACATATATATATATATATACGTGATTTTGCGCACAGCTACCGCCCTGTAGCAGTATTTCTGCTATGGGGTGGAGCTGAAGCTTAACCACCTTCTGCCCGCCCTATAGTCCAATGACGGGCGCAAGTGGTTCTCTCGTTCTGATAGGATGTCATATTCTCACTGCGCATGAACGGCTCAGGGAGCGCCAGTGTGCTGTGTCCCTCGGACACAGCAGATCACGGAAAGAGCTGAAGATGTCGGCTCGGCCATGTGATCAGCTGTGTCCAATCACAGTTGATCACATGTAAACATGGAAATGCTGGTTATCGGCATTTCTCTCCTCTCGAGCTGTCATGCTGACAGAGGAGAGGAGAGCCTGTAATTGGCTTTCCGCGGAGGGGACATGCACACTGATCATCAGTGCACTGATGATCAGTGTGCCCTGATGATCAGTGTGGCCCCAGAAGTGCCACCTGTCAGTGCTCATCAGTGCCACGTGCCATTGCCCATCAGCTGCCTTCCAATGTCACTCATCAGTGCCAGTCAGTGCCACCTATCAGTGCTGCCAATCAGTGCCACCTATCAGTGCCAGTCAGTTTCACATATCAGTGCGCATTAGTGCCAGTCAGTGCCACCTATCAGTGCCAGTCAGTGCCACCTAACAGTGCCAGTAAGTGCTGCCTATCATTGCCAGTCAGTGCCGCCTAGCAGTGCCGCCTATCAGTGCCATATATCAGTGTCATGTATCAGTGTCATGTATCAGTGCTGCCTTTCAGTACCCATCAGTGATGCCTGTCAATGCCCATCAGTGCAACCTACCACTGCCTCCTCTTCAGTGCCCATCAGTGCCACCTATCAGTGCCCATCACTGCAGCCTCATTAGCGCACATCAGTGAAGGAGAAAAATCATTTATTTACAAAATTGTATAACAAAAACTAAGAAAAAATTTCCTAAATTTTCAATGGTTTTTGGTTTGTTTAAGAAAAAATAAAAATCCCAGGGGTGATTAAATACAACCAAAAGAAAGCTCTATCTGTCTAAAAAAAAACGATACAAATTTCATATGGCTACAGTGTTGCATGACCGCACAATTGTCATTCAAAGTGTGACAGCGCTGAAAGCTGGAAATTGGCATGGGCATGAAGGGGGTAGAAGTGCCCTGTAGGCAGGAAGGGGGTAGAAGTGCCCTGTAGGCAGGAAGGGGGTAGAAGTGTCCAGTGGGCAGGAAGGGGGTATAAGTGCCCTGTAGGCAGGAAGGGGGTAGAAGTGTCCTGTAGGCAGGAAGGGGGTAGAAGTGTCCAGTGGGCAGGAAGGGGGTATAAGTGCCCTGTAGGCAGGAAGGGGGTAGAAGTGCCCTGTAGGCAGGAAGGGGGTAGAAGTGTCCGGTAGGCAGGAAGGGGGTAGAAGTGTCCGGTAGGCAGGAAGGATGTAGAAGTACCTTGTAGGCAGGAAGGGGGTAGAAGTGCCCGGTAGGCAGGAAGGGGGTAGAAGTGCCCTGTAAGCAGGAAGGGGGTAGAAAAGCGTCCTGTAGGCAGGAAGGGGGTAGAAGTGCCCTGTAGGCAGGAAGGGGGTAGAAGTGCACAGTAGGCAGGCAGGGGGTAGAAGTGCCCGGTAGGCAGGAAGGGGGGGTAGAAGTGCCCTGTAGGCAGGAAGGGGGTAGAAGTGCCCGGTAGGCAGGAAGGGGGTAGAAGTGCCCGGTAGGCAGGAAGGGGGTAGAAGTGCCCTGTAGGCAGGAAGGGGGTAGAAGTGCCCGGTAGGCAGGAAGGGGGTAGAAGTGCTCTGTAGGCAGGAAGGGGGTAGAAGTGCCCGGTAGGCAGGAAGGGGGTAGAAGTGCCCTGTAGGCAGGAAGGGGGTAGAAGTGTCCAGTGGGCAGGAAGGGGGTAGAAGTGCCCTGTAGGCAGGAAGGGGGTAGAAGTGCCCTGTAGGCAGGAAGGGGGTAGAAGTGTCCAGTGGGCAGGAAGGGGGTATAAGTGCCCTGTAGGCAGGAAGGGGGTAGAAGTGTCCTGTAGGCAGGAAGGGGGTAGAAGTGTCCAGTGGGCAGGAAGGGGGTAGAAGTGCCCTGTAGGCAGGAAGGGGGTAGAAGTGCCCTGTAGGCAGGAAGGGGGTAGAAGTGTCCGGTAGGCAGGAAGGGGGTAGAAGTGTCCGGTAGGCAGGAAGGATGTAGAAGTACCTTGTAGGCAGGAAGGGGGTAGAAGTGCCCTGTAGGCAGGAAGGGGGTAGAAGTGCCCTGTAGGCAGGAAGGGGGTAGAAGCGTCCTGTAGGCAGGAAGGGGGTAGAAGTGCCCTGTAGGCAGGAAGGGGGTAGAAGTGCACAGTAGGCAGGCAGGGGGTAGAAGTGCCCGGTAGGCAGGAAGGGGGTAGAAGTGCCCTGTAGGCAGGAAGGGGGTAGAAGTGCCCGGTAGGCAGGAAGGGGGTAGAAGTGCTCTGTAGGCAGGAAGGGGGTAGAAGTGCCCTGTAGGCAGGAAGGGGGTAGAAGTGTCCTGTAGGCAGGAAGGGGGTAGAAGTGTCCTGTAGGCAGGAAGGGGGTATAAGTGCCCTGTAGGCAGGAAGGGGATAGAAGTGCCAGGTGGGCAGGAAGGGGGTAGAAGTGCCCTGTAGGCAGGAAGGGGGTAGAAGTGCCCGGTAGGCAGGAAGGGGGTAGAAGTGCCCTGTAGGCAGGAAGGGGATAGAAGTGCCAGGTGGGCAGGAAGGGGGTAGAAGTGCCCTGTAGGCAGGAAGGGGGTAGAAGTGCCCTGTAGGCAGGAAGGGGGTAGAAGTGCCCTGTAGGCAGGAAGGGGGTAGAAGTGCCCTGTAGGCAGGAAGGGGGTATAAGTGTCCTGTAGGCAGGAAGGGGGTATAAGTGCCCAGTAGGCAGGAAGGGGGTATAAGTGTCCTGTAGGCAGGAAGGGGGTATAAGTGCCCGGGGGGCAGTAAGTGCCCAGGCAGGAAGGGGGTATAAGTGCCCAGTAGGCAGGAAGGCGGTAGAAGTGCCCAGTAGGCGGGAAGGGGGTATAAGTGCCCAGTAGGCAGGAAGGGGATATAAGTGCCCAGTAGGCACGTGGTTAATTACAAAGCATGCACTGATTATCAGCAAAATATCTAAAAAAAAAAAAACAAAACAAAAAAAGCAGAACCTATTCTAGAAGTCTCTTGTGAGATAATATGCAGAGATGGAAAATCTGGACAAAGCCTCCCGTAACGTCCTTAACTCTCCATCTGCTGGAAAATCCTGGAAGAGTTGCATAACTTTTTAAAGCACGCCAGGAAGGGAATTGTTCAGCTTGAGGGAATACAGGAAAGCACAGGGTTTGTCTATTATAAACATTAGCAGGGAGGTATCAGTCTGTAATCCTTCTTAATAGATTTGCACATAACAATACGGCATTGATAACAGACCATCTATAACACGGTGTCGGCTACAGCTGCAGGATATCAGGATCTGTGGGGTTTGCTAGAACTGGAAAAAAAAAAATAAAAAATGGTGCTTTCTGCATTTTGTGTCTGATAGCCGGTACCATCTTTTCTCCAGCTGTAATTCTGACAAGAGGAGCCAACTTAAAAACGGCTGTAATCCTCAGCTTCAGACACCTCCAACGCCTGCTGTTATTTATTTATTTATTTATTATGTTCCTTCCAAAAGCTTTTCAGCTGTGCGGCTGAGAAAGTCTTCAAGCAAAGAAAAAAAAAAAAAGAAAAACAAGACAAGAAAAAAAAAAAAAGAAAAAACACACCCATCTGTTTGCATCCAGGAGATGGTTTTTTTTCTCTCTGGAAAATTTATAGCAGGGAAAAATAATATTGTTTCTTTTCCTAGTGTGACTAACTGAGCTCCTTGTTGGCTTTGTGCAGCAGAGGACGTGATAGCGCCGCTTTCCTGCCCATCTTTTACCACAACATACACAGTCTGGACAGAAGGAAGCGAAGGCATCAATGAAGCCAATATCAGTGTTGTGCAACAATTTCAAATTTTCCCAAGGCTTACATTGTGGGAGGGGAGCGTTTTATGAATGGATGTGAGGCTGACACATGAAACGCGTGGGATCTGTCTGAGTACTTTGTCTGGGTCAGCTGTGACATCTGGCTCTTATGAATCCAGCATATTGTGACTCATTAGAGCACAAATAGTAATCCCAAACAGGATCTTCTTATGATTTCCCCTTATCCCAAATGATGGCAAGCCCCTGTGAACTGTTATTACCCCGACAGGAACAGGACCTCCTGTGTCATCAGTGCATCCTGGTCAGCACTGTGTCAGTGCCTGAAAACAAACCAAATGATGGCTCACGGTATTGTAAACAAGCTGGGAAGAACTGTCTGAGTTGTTAGTATTCTCACGTCACTGACATGGAAAAAAGGGGGTTCTGATGTGGTGTGAGGGTGAGCCGTGGTGGGAAGTTGCTGATCCTCCTGGAGGGAATAATAGTTATTTTCATTGCATCTTTAAATCAGTGTGTGTGGCAGGATGAGACGCTTTGTAGGTGACAGCTTCACTGTACCAGGCGGCTTTGTGGGGCAGCCGTGATGTAGAGGTCAGATGAATCCCTTCAACGTCACAAGCAAAGCTAATAAAAGGGCACAAAAAAGACCATTTCTAATTAGTGACAAATGCCTGATAACTTATAGAAAGGTGCCGCGCATATCTCTGTAACCGCATCCAGGAATTACCGCGTCCAAACCATGTGATCATGCAACCATAGTGAATACACTAAATACAATGTAACTTATAGAAAGGTGCCGCGCATATTTCTGTAACCGCATCCAGGAATTACCGCGTCCAAACCATGTGATCATGCAACCATAGTGAATACACTAAATACAATGTAACTTATAGAAAGGTGCCGCGCATATCTCTGTAACCGCATCCAGGAATTACCGCGTCCAAACCATGTGATCATGCAACCATAGTGAATACACTAAATACAATGTAACTTATAGAAAGGTGCCGAGCATATATCTCTATGACAGGGGCGGACTGACAACTCATGGGGCCCCCGGGCAATAGGGGATCATGGGGTCCCTGTGTCCTTGCCCAAACTCAAAAAAGCCTATGAAAAAGGTACCAGGGGCATCTCATGGGGCCCCCTACTGACCCCGGGCCCTCGGGCAGTGCCCGAGTTTCCAAATGGTCAGTCCCCCCTGCTCTATAACCGCATCCAGGAATTACCGCGTCCAAACCATGTGATTATGCAACCATAGTGAATACACTGAATACTATGTAACTCTTAGAAAGTTGCCGAGCATATATCTCTATAACAGGGGTGGACTGACAACTCATGGGGCCCCCGGGGCAATAGGGGATCATGGGGCCCCTGTGTCCTTGCACAAACTCAAAAAAGCCTATGAAAAAGGTACCAGGGGCATCTCATGGGGCCCCCTACTGACCCCGGGCTCTCGGGCAGTGCCCGAGTTTCCAAATGGTCAGTCCGCCTTTTTCATAGGTTTTTTTGAGTTTGGGCAAGGACACAGGGGCCCCATGATCCCCTATTGCCCGGGGGCCCCATGAGTTGTCAGTCCGCCGCCCCTGCACTGAATACAACGTAACTTTTAGAAAGGTGCTGCACATATATCTCTATAACCTCATCTATGAACTAGAAAAGCTCCAATTTCTGGGAAAATTGTGTGAAGTGTTCTTGCCTCCACCAGTAGCCTACAACTGGAGTGGGCGGAGTAACTGGGTGGAGTAGCTTTTGTCACTCTGCTGCCTGCTCACACACCTGGTTT